CTGAATTGGAAATTCCCACGAGTAATTATACCAATTGGAGCGAAAGCCAACAGTTCAACAATGGCGTTAAGGTGTCTGCAACTCTGAAGTTTAATTGTCGCGTTTGATTTTCGTATCACGATTAAACTGATGGCCAAACAGGAAGACACAGTCTGTCTCCTACTGCCCAAATTGTTAATTACAAATCATAATTGAAAGTACAAAAATATGAGATTTAGTACGTTATTTGTATTACGTTAGATGAGAGGAGTACACGACCTTTAATACCCTATTGATTCCGGAACGCCGAAAGCTTGTTTACCGAAGAAAATAAATTTTAATAAACTTTACTTTAAGGGCGCACATTCAAACGAATATCTAGGTCAGTCTCAACGTGATTCAGTTTTAAGTTTTAATAATATTTTTACATTGTTATTCAAATATTAAAAATTTATTAAGATCATTTTGAACATGAACAAACAACAATTGTAATGTAAGAAATTATTTGTTTGGTATAAATAGAATAAGAATTTCATTGTACTGAATTCAATAAAGCTCTGAGAATGATGAATGTTTCTTTCGTAAAAGAAACGATTGCACCTTTTCGCTGTAAGTTTCATTGCACTGTTGTGAATCATTTCCGCAGTAAAAGCGCGATTGTGCGAGGGTTGAAATCTTTGCCGGAATTAAAGTTTGCATGCATTTCGTATTCTGATTTGTTTACATATCAAAGTGCGAGAGGTTTTCCCCTCGTTTAATGCCGCACACCGAAGTTTATGACTTTAATTAGCCGAACAGGGGGGGGGGGCAATAAAACGTCGAACAGTAAACTTCTCCCGAGGGCGCAAAACCGTAAAGTTTTCGCATGTCTTTTCCTTCATATTATATTCCTTCCTTCGACAATTGAACCTCGCAAATTCCACTCATAACTGCGGAAATATCCAATTTGTTTCATTAAAAATGATACGATACGATCGCTTTGTCGATTCTTATATAAAATTGTATAATTATATACAAAAAAAAAGGAGAATAATGAAACAAGGATTAGATTGTAGGCATGGGTTGTTTTTGTGGGAGGACAAAGTTCACAGGGATTACGTGCACGTGGCCGGAGCCCAATAGAGCGACAATTTTAGCGGCAATTTCATTAGGATGAACGTCGGAACGAACTAATGAATGTTCACTGTGATGTGAAAAACGAAATCTGTGAAAAATATGAGTCAAACGGAATATACACGTGAAATTGTTGGGGTGATTACATAAAAAAAAAACACACAGCTTCCGGTATATTAATAACGGCAAATACACAGAACAACGTTGCCTATACAGAAGATGTTTTTATTTGATTTCAGTAATTAATAATTGAATGTTGAAATTCATATATAGATTGAATAAACGTATTAGTTTTATGTATTTATATAAGTTAATAATAGTGACAATAGCATATTGGTGGAGCGGAGATAATCAAGTTTGTTGCACCTGACCAAACCGGACGAGTACAGCAATTCCTATAACGCTGTTACCATATAACTCTGCAAATTGTATGGATGTTATTCCCCAGTCTATTTATATATATATGTACACTCCATATTCAGCAATCGATTTCCAATATTTGCCTCATTTTATGAACTATGTACACGGTGTTTTCCACCCAATTAAATACACGTTTTCCAACGCGCGACCGACTGCAGATTCCGACGAGTTTTCGGGGCTAAGGATTCGTGATTTCCCTCTGGGAAGAAAAAAAAACTATTCCCCCCATGGGGTCGTTCCATCAGGGCTCTAATCGTGCGCCCTTCTCCAGGATGAAAGAACGAGAAGTTCTTGGACGGTTCATAAAACACCGACGAAAATTATCGAGTCGATTTGGAGGCGCTGCAGCATCTGGACCATCATCATTATTCCTGGTTTTGCGGCGTTATCAGCGGAAAAACAGGGTTTGCACCAGGCGAATAAATACCGATAAGAACTTCTCTCTCTCTCTCTTGCACTTTGCGAATAACGTCCGGGCTTTGTTTAATTAATAATATCGTGCGTTGCAGCAAATTATTTCGCTCCGGATTTACAATGGCCACGGTTCCTGCATTATCCCAACTCCTATATGTCCTATACAAAATCAACAGCGTTTTCATGTCACCGAAACTATGTGTTCTCTACACCCTGCACTGCAGCACCGATGGACCGTCACATTAGCAGTTTGCACAGCAAGCATTTCATCCGTTTGTTACCAAACACCAAACGTAAATCAAAGCAAAGCCATTTTACACATTCCAACACTATTATTTTTTTTTATTATAACAAGCTCTAGTTCTCGATTAATTAATGAAAAAATAAACAAATATATGTCAGAGATTGATCCAGCGACCAAAATCTAAAGAATGCTTATAAAAGAAAGTCCTATTGTCAATTTAAACATCACTAACACTAACTTAATAGCGATTAGGAAGGTCCTGTGGTTTAAATCGTTTCAATCTTCGTCGATGAGATTCAGTGTGTGTAAGCTCTGAGTTATCTCATCCTTCACAAATCTGACTCCAGTTTATTGATGTATGTACTCGTTATGTACTTGTATGTACTCGTTATGTACTTGTATGTACTCGTTATGTACTTGTATGTACTCGTTATGTACTCGTATGTACTCGCTGTATGATGTCAATACTTGTATTACAAGCAGATCCCCACAGTTGTTGTTGTTTTCAGCTGAGGTGGAGGTGGATCCTTTCAATCGATGAGATTCAGTGTGTGTAAGATCAGAGCCAAGTTGGTTTGGATGGTCCTCCAGTCAATGTTAGTATTTGTGCTGATTCGTTATCTCATCCTTCACAAATCTGACTCCAGTGTATTGTATGTACTCGTATGTACTCGTATGTACTCGCTGTATGATGTCAATACTTGTATTACAAGCAGATCCCCACAGTTGTGTTGTTTTCAGCTGAGGTGGAGGTGGATCCTTTCAATCGATGAGATTCAGTGTGTGTAAGATCAGAGCCAAGTTGGTTTGGATGGTCCTCCAGTCAATGTTAGTATTTGTGCTGAATTCCGTTATCTCATCCTTCACAAATCTGACTCCAGTGTATTGAAGTATGTACTCGTATGTACTCGCTGTATGATGTCAATACTTGTATTACAAGCAGATCCCCACAGTTGTTGTTGTTTTCAGCTGAGGTGGAGGTGGATCCTTTCAATCGATGAGATTCAGTGTGTGTAAGATCAGAGGCAAGTTGGTTTGGATGGTCCTCCAGTCAATGTTAGTATTTACTACTGAATTCCGTTATCTCATCCTTTACAAATCTGACTCCAGTGTATTGATGTATGTACTCGTTATGTACTTGTATGTACTCGCTGTATGATGTCAATACTTGTATTACAAGCAGATCCCCACAGTTGTAGTTGTTTTCAGCTGAGATGGATGAGTACCTACGTAACTTACAGTCAGTCCTAGCTGTTTTCTTTTTGTCGTGATATGTTTTTTCCAGGTGAGTCGACGATCCAGATGCATGCCAAGATACTTAGCATCATCAGCCTGTTGTATTGCACTGCCATTCAGTATAACGAGTGGACAAGTTTGACGACTTCGATTCATTAGATTCTCCACTTTCTGAACCTATATTCGATGCTATTCAGACAACAAAAGTGGCTATAGTGGCGTGCTGGGGAGTTGGTAGATCAGCCGTGAAGATCAAATAGAGTAAGGGTCCAGAAACACTTCCCTGCTGGACACCAGAGAGGATTGGACGTAGCCTTTGTGCTTGACCTGAAAGTGCCCACATAAAGTAATGTTTAATTAGCATTTCTTAAGGATTTACTCGATTCTTTAACATACAGTCATAATCAATTGCAAACATTTTCAAACTAAGGTAAATTATTGAAATATTTGGAAGCGATGTTGTGAGACACTTTTGGACAATGCAATTTCGAATTTACGACCGATTAAAGTGAATAGATGTTCCCACTTCAGTCCCATTTAAAACGGCACTTTAATATTGTTGCTTTTAAAAGTATTTTAATTACAGCTCTTCCACGTCTGTTCTTTTTTTTTCATATATATATGGAGAGAGAGAGAGTGTACAACGTTTTGTTCGATCATTGCGGCCATTCATCTGCCGTTCCCATTCGTTGCCTCCATTTACGAGGAGGACTGACTCTGTTTTTAATTGAAATATAATGCGTGATAACGAGCAGAAAAATCCGCCGACATTTAGAAAAATATCAAACAACAACAACAAAAAATTGTATATGTGTGCTCTGCAATTCATTTCACGATTTGCACCCCCTTTCGCATTCATCACTCCACAATAATTGCAATTTAATAGTTGTTTTTATCGAACGGAGAAAAGTATTCAATTTTTTATATACATTGTCTTCTAGATTATCAAAAGATTTAAATAGGATCTAGAGTGCTTGGAAGATATTCAATTTAAATAAAATGTTAGTATATTTTTGAGTCGAGAAAATATGTTGGAAAAACAAATTGAAAATTTCGATCATTCGGTTTTTCATCAAAAACACTTTATTTGCGTTCCTCTGTACGCGTGAAACAAAATTATTTTTTGGCATCGACATGGAGTTTGCAATTTATATTTTTTTGGTATTTTTCATTAACTATGGATTAATGGCCTTAAGCTGTTATATTATTGTCATCAAAGGATGATATAGATGGAGAGATTTCAAGGGAAAATATAACAGATCGTTCTATTATTTACGAAACAATTATGTCGTTATCGAGTTCAGCTTTGTTTCTTTGGAGACAGGATATTTCTCGTTGCGGGGAAAATGTGATAGAAAGAAGAAACGTATTGGAGAGGATGTGGCGTGGAAATACGATTGAAAAAGCGCAAATTCATCATCAAAACTGGAGGAGAATGAATCGATGACATTAATAAACTTGACCCACATCTCAGGTTTCGCGGAATGCCGAGCGTTTTCACGCATCTTTCAGGATTTATGAAGGAATCATAGTTTATGTGATAGTTAAATACAATTGATTTCTATTTTATTTAATAATGGAATTCTGAGAAGTATTGAGAGAGATAATACATAATGAGAGAATGTGGATGAGTTGATGTGTGATTTAGATGTGACTGAAGTCTGAGAGATATTTCCTGATGTTGAAGCCGACCATTTTGGAGATGGTCTGTATGAACTCAAAGTTGACGGTGCATTTGTACTTCTGACCGTCGAGATTGTAATTGTCGGAGAGTGATGTTAGCAGCTGCAGCTCGACCAGACTGGAGACTTGCACGAGCAAATTGTTATTAAATCCGACCTTATCGTCGAGGATGGCGTAGAAAATAGCGAGCAATCTATCAAAGCTGAAAGGTTTCGGTCCCAGTTGCGTGCTCAACTGCTCGGACACTTTGCTCTTGGCCTTCACGTCCTTCATGGTCTTCGTCTTCTTGCCGTGGTGCTTCATGAACAGCCTTTTATCATCCTTCGCCGGATTGTAGCTCGCCAGATAAGCGGCAATTAGCAAGTACTTGGCGTAGAACGGCAGCTCGAGTGCCTGCGCTCCGAGCGCTCCGCTCTGCCCGGAGAACCTCAAGTACAGGACTTCCAGCGAGGATTTCAGCGTTGGCGCGATGTGTCGCCAAAGGGCCATGGAATCAGCGGCGCTGCAGTCCTTCCTGTGAATCGGTTCGCAGTACTTGACGAAATTAATGCGCGCCATGTACCGAAGCTCGCACAGATCCCTGCAGGCGCGATAGAACGTCGAGAGGAAGACGTTCAGATAGTTTAAGTAAAAGTTAACGTCCACTTCGAGCGCATCGTCGTAGTGCTCTTGTAAAAGCTTCGAGCAGCCGTCGAAGTCCATCGCGAGGATCGCGATGATCTCCTCCTTGCTGTACTGCGGGAACGGCAGCTTAACAGGATCGACGACGTTGCCTTTGATGTTGAATTTTTGGAAGGCTATCTCCGAGATCAGGATAACCGATATGCTCGGAATGCCGCTGAGCTCGCGCAGCCTCAGGAAGCTCGGCAGAAGATTGAAGTCCATGTTTCTCAGCTGCTCGGCTTTATCCAAGACGATCACCGCTCGTTTCAACTGAAAGTTGGAGAGATTGTTCAAGAAGTCCATCAGGTTATCGCATTTGGCAACGGGCTGGGGGTCCGTCGGATCGATCCTGTGAGAGGTGAGCTCGTTGAGGATGGTCTCCAAAAGGATTTTCGTGCTGTAGCATTCAATGAGATTGGCTACGGCGTGCTTAAATTTCTTTTCCTCAAGAAAAGCTTTGACGATGCTGGTTTTTCCGACGCTCGGTCCACCGTGCACGAAGATTGCATCCGCAGCTGCATCATCACCGAGAAGATTGTGAAGCATCTCAATTTGCGTCTCCCTTCCCGGAAACCTCTCAATTAATCCTTCAAGCATCTTCATTCTGCAACAAATTCACGAATATTAATTACATCAATTAACTAATTTACAATATAAAAGGATAAACAAGAAAAAATAGGGATTCAAGTAGATACATGCGTGTATATATTTTTTGTGCGACTTTCTCGTTCTTTCGCTCCCTTGAGCCGAAGTAAATTTATAGAATCCCACGAGTCTTATCGAGATAGAAAATTTCCTTTTCGATCCGACGCCGTTATTTTCTGCAGCTCGTTTCTCTTAACTAGATTTTCGTCTGGCCACCTTTCTTCTCTCTCTCTCACTCTCGTTTTTTTTTACTTCATTTTTTATTCCTGCACCTTCGCAGCAGCAGCAGCAAGTTCAAGGTCTCTACCACCTAGTATGGATTTTCCCGGGGAGCAGACGGAGAGTGGCCTCTTTCTCCACCTCCGCAACTCCGAACGCAATGCACAAATAAAAACCAATGAAAAATGACTATAAAAATTATTACATCCCTTCACGCAACGGATTAAGATTGCGAAAATATTCATATATATATCAGAGCATATAAATACCGACGATCCCATTTCCAGAGCAGCAAATGCCACCAGTGTGTAAGTTGTTCTATCGATTGACCTTTCCAAGTTAAACGATGCGTCTCTTCAACATACACACATTCGCATCTGTGCATTTCCATAACGCCAAAGCGTATAGCGGAATAACTACAAAATCTTATAGTTTTATGCATATTTGATGATCCAATTAGCATTCGTGCTCATCGAATTGAAGACTATACTTTTTATTATCTTCAATAACTCCCGAATCAACTTTACCAATTAAATTTGCACTTGGGAACGAGAAGCAGCCTAAGTGTACACAGAATGCGATTATCGCTATGTTCTTGATGTGGTGAAAACGGTTTTCAGATGGAAGAAAGTTTGTTGCGAAATCACTTGATTCTCTCATCAATGGTATGGACCAATCCCCAATAAGAAAAGTTTATGTTAAATTGCTTTTAGAACTGATTACTTCAATGATTTCATTAAACGTAATTCAATAGTTTTTGTAACTACAATAAGAGTTTTAAAAGATGAAACAAACCCAGAATTGTTATTGAATTATAAATAAAAAAAACTTATTTTGTAAATATTTGGAATTCGGTGAAGATAATTAGAAACATGTTTCATAAGTACAAGCAATGAGTCAATAGTGTTGTTAATAATAGTCTTTGAATGATTTGAGAGTGAAATT